GTCTCAGGCTTCTTGTGCCAGGGACTGCAGGCCCTGGCTATTTACATAGTGTTGTACTGATGTTGCCCTGAGGCCCACAGGGAACCCTAGTATCTGGTGCTGCACTGAGGGGGTGGGGTGAGCAGGTGACTAGAGCTGCTGGAGACCATAGGGGTCTGGCAGTTTACCTGGTCTGGAGCCAGGGTCCTAGTGCTAGTGTCTGGAGTGTGCTGTGGGGTGTTTCTGCATTTCCCGGGGGATACACTGCCTGTTTGGTTAGGCTCCCGTAGGACAGGTGTCTGCCTGTTTGCCCAGGGCTATGCTGAAGCACCTGGGGTTCTCAGAGCTGGAGTCCGCTCTTTCCCCTGGCTATGCAGAGGCACCTAGGGGGTCCTAGGGTTGGTGTTTGCCTGCTCCACTGCACTGGAGCTCAGGATCTACTGCTGGTTTGCTGAGGTGGGGCTTGCTACTGGCTTGCTGGGATGTTTCCTGTCCTGGACTACAGTCCCCTTTTATCTGAGTGAGACATCTTTCCTGCTGATCTTCCAAATTTCTCAGGCTCAAAGGTTGTTTCACCCTGTTTTTTTGCTAGTTCTTCTATTCCTGGATTTGTTCTGGGGCACTATTCTGTGGTTGTTTGGAGGTGAATATAGGAGAGTTACAGCAAATTACTGCTTATTCTGCCATCTTGGCTCCCAGAATGAGAATTGTTAACTAAAGATGTACAGAAATCTTTATAACTCTTTTTTGGGTGGTAAAGAATGAGAATCTGACTATATGACTACATATGTCTATAGCAGCAGTTTTGTTTTTTCTTTTGTTCTCCATTGGGAGGGAGGAAACAAAGCAAGTAAATGCTGATTTTCAAAATTCAGTTAATTTTTTGGGGGGGGGCTAGGTAATGGGGTTAAATGACTTGCCCAGGGTCACACAGCTAGTAAGTGTCAAGTGTCTGAGTCCAGATTTGAACTCAGGTCCTCCTGATGGTCAGTGCTCTATCCACTATACCACCTAGCTGCCCCCAATTAATTTTTTTATTAATTTATTTTGAATTGTCAACAATCACTTCTGTAAGCTTTTGAGTTTTAAATTTTTCTCCCCCTCCCTCTCTACCTCCCTCCCCTAGCTGGCATGCAATCTGATATAGGCTATACATATATATTCCTATTAAACATATTTTCACATTAGTGATGCTGTAAGTAAGAATAAGAACCATTAGGAGGAACCACCAGAAAGAGGAAATAAAACACAACAGAAGAAAAAAAAAATAGCAAATAGTATGCTTCGATCTGCATTCAAACTACATAGTTCTTTCTTCTTTGTGGATAGTATTTTCCATCACGAGGCCTTTGGAGATGTCTTAGATCCTTGTATTGCTGAGAAGGGCTAAGTTTTTCAATATTAGTCATCGCACAATGTGGCTGTTATTGTGTACAACTTCTGGTTCACTTCACTCAGCATCAGACCATACAAGTCTTTCCAGGTTTTTCTGAAGTCAGCCTGTTCATCATTTCTTATAGCACAATAGCATTCCATTACATTCATATACCACAACTTGTTCAGCCATTCCCCAGTTGATGGGCATCCCCCAATTAATTTTTTAAAAAGAATAATACTGAGAAAAGAATTAAGCAGACATTGATCAAGGTGGTGAGCAAAAGAGCCAATATTCTAAGGCAGGTCTTCAGACTCCAAATCTAGTGCCTTTCTCCATTATACTTACCACACTGCCTTTGGGAAGGGGGGAGCGGGGTGGGGGACGAAGAGTAAGGAGGTAGGGTAAAAATCCAGTAAGTTAGGAAAACTCCCTAGTTGAAGAAGGTCTTCATTCTTGTTGGCAAAGCAATGACCTTTTGGGTCATTCTTCTAGCCTTTGATTCAAGAGATGACCCTTGATATAGCTAGTTTCATTGTAGGGGCAGTCAGTGAACATATAGCGGTTATAGTTATATCTCTAGGTCTAAAATTCTGTAACAGAGGAATTGGAATCAATCAGCCTCTACTTATTAAATCAGTTTCTGCATTTGTAAAAATGAGGGAATTGAACTAAATGACCCCTGTAGTCGCCTCCAGCTCTCCTGTATGGGCCTGTGGTTTTTTCAGAAACAGTTTAGGTGTGGTCTGGAATGAAGGAAAGAGAGTGAACCATGTGACCTTCAGAGATCCCTTTCCATACTGTGATTCAGTTCTGTGGGAAGCCAAGCAACATACCACATTCTTATACCATTTTTTTAACAGAATTCCCAGTGGAGTGAGTAAAAGAAATGTTTATTCTTTGAGGAAAATAATTAAAGAAATTATGCAGGTCAGAGAAAATAAGCTTTTCCCCCCCTCAGGTACATCCTGCCTATACTGCTTTTCCACTGTGAAGCCACTGAAATATACCAGGCAATTAATTTCTTATCTTTTTGAGATCTCCAGCCAATCATTCATTGAACAATCTATTCACCATGTAAAACGTCCAGGCAGTTTTAGTAATGATAATACTAGGTGATAATAATAATACTCATATAGAGCTTTAAAGTTTACAAAGTGCTTTATAAATAATATCTCATTTGAGCTGAACAACCCTGTGAGGCAGGTACTACTGTAAATATTAACCACCTTTTTACAAATGAGGAAACTGAGGGTAATGGAAGTTACATGCCTCGCCCATGGTCACACAAATAAATGATTTTTGGAAGAAGCATTCAAACCTAGACCTCTTTTGACTCAGTATTGCCCTGAGGAAGTTGAGAGAGCTGGAAGGACCCTGTTTGGTCATGGATATAGTTGTAATAGAGAAAGGCCTTTCATCACAGGATCATAGGGTTAGAACAGGAAGGGATCTTAGAGTTCAGCTCATCCAACCTTTCATTTTACAGTGAGGAAAATGCAGCCTAAAGAGATTAAATAACCTGCCTAGGTTCACCCTGGCAGTAAGTAGCAGAGCCATAATAGCTGACATTTATGCATCACTTTGAGGTTTGCAAAGCACATTACATACATTATCTCATTTGCTTCTTACCACAATCCTATGATGTTGGTCATACAGGCATTATTTTTACAGTTGACAAAACTCAGACTTGGAGACAATAAACAGCTTGCCCAGCTTACCCAGACAGTTAAGGATCAGAGGTGAGACATGGACCTGGGTCTTCCTGACTCCAAGTCCAGCATTGGATCCATTGTACCATCCTACTGCTCACATTCAAATCCAGGTGTTCTGACCCCAAGTTCCATGTCCTTTACCTAGTGACATACCGATTTGGGTGAGATTGTAGTAGTTATGATGTCTGCCCTCTCTTCCATCCCCACCTTGCTGGAAAAAGTCTGGGCCCCACCAAGGAGTAGTCATGGTCTTAGAATACATCTACTCACCGTTGGTGACTCTATGTTTGATTAATAGGGTTGGAAAGAACATTGAACGATTTCTGTTTCATCCCCTTACCACCCCTAGATGATACCAGGTAGGTATCAGGATCTGTCATGTTTCATAGGGTCATAGGGCTTCTAGGGTGATAGAGACCATCCTTAACTACCACCAGGGAAGGAGATTCTCAAGTTTGCCTCAGCTGTTGTTCTCATTGTCTTTATAAACCTCACCTTCAGGATATCTTTCTGCACTGACATAAGTCTTAAAATTTTTGTCTTAGTGTTCTTTAAAAGAAAGGGAGTCGTTCAGCTTTAGGGATGTGTGTTTTTGCTTGGCCAGAGCAGGAAAAAGCCTGGGCCTTCCATGCTGTCATAGTGGCCTTTGAGTTTCCACTCTCAGACAGCACGGTGCTAGGCACTCATTTCAAAGCCAGTTGGAACTGGCGGTCAGTTCCAAACTGGTCAGTCCACTCTTAACATCTCCCACAGAAAAGTTTTTAACTTTGCTCATTTCCTCATTCAAAGAAGCCCTGAGCCCTTTGGTTTTGTGTGAGCCCTCTGCATGAGGAAAATGATCAGCCTGGGGTCTCACCTCCTAGCAGCCTGGAGTAACAGTAAGGGCGCATTGTCCCTTCCTTCCCCCTCCTACCCCTCTCCCCAGGAGTCTGCAGAAAGAGGGAGGCTAGGAAGCCTGTTGTAGGCGTCTGTGTCATAGGTCTTGTCCTGCTGGCAGCCCCAGTTAGGAACTCTCCTTCTGGGGCTTGGAAGTCAGTAGAGCTGAGGCATCTGCGACATCTGAATCTTCCCATTGCTGTCAGAAACTGCAAGTACTGTACCTCCTTCTGCGCCTTCCAGTCTTCCATTCCCCCAGGCTTTCAACCCTGAATCCCCATCTTCAGGGGGGAGGGGGAGGTCCGAGGTTTATTCTCCAAACCAGCTTTCCCACAAGTCCACTTAGCCCAGCCAGCAGGCCAACCCCTGGCAGGCCTGTGTTTAAATGGGAAACCAGATCCAAGGATACCCCTCTTGGGACATTCACAGGGAATACTCCCCTCTGACTAACCTAATCAGTATGTAGATGTCACTGATGTTTATACAACTGAAGCTGGGGGGTTGAAGGGGATTCATTTGTCTGGCCAGAGCTCAGTTCCAAAGCAGAGCACTCAGCTTGGTCCGATTGGGGGAGATTAAAAATAACTCTTCCATCCTTGTCAAAAGTTTGCATCCCCCTTTTGTAACACCCCATTAAGCAATCAACCTCCTCCCCTGTATCCCAGTTCACTGGCGGCACTAATGCGTAGGCTTTTCACAGCACGCAAAAACCTCCCGCAAAAGGAACGACATCCTTACCCCTCAGCTGGCTGCTAGAACCGAGCCTCCCCAGAAGACACGCACTAGACTTCTAGCAAGAATACGGGAGGCTCATGCAAGGAAGTCATATTAAAGCTATTTGTGAGGTTGCCAGAGGGATTTCTTTGATTTATAAAGTATGAAAGATTGCCATTTATGAATTCACAAGCGGATGAGTTATTGCCTGTATTGTACTCCCTAGAAGCTCATTATGTTATGAATCCCAGTGTGAAAACTGAACACGCTACTTTTGTCACCAGTGTGTAAAGTGCTGCAGTGCTGCCTGCGAATGACCCTTCTCTTTTTGCTCCGCACAGGCTGGGTGGTGGGCTCTCTGGAGATCCTCGGCAGCCCATCTGGCCTGGTCAGAAGCATTGGGAATGGCATCGACGACTTCTTTAGGCTTCCCTACGAAGGGCTGACCCGAGGCCCTGGGGCATTTGTCAGCGGAGTTTCCAGAGGGACTACATCCTTCGTAAAGCACATTTCCAAAGGTAGCTTATGGTTACATCCGTGCCTCATTTTTGTTCCTTTCCCTTTACCTCTTTTTTTTTTTCTTTTTAAAAAATTTTCAAGAACGTGTTAAATTCTGAACCACACTCAGGTGGCCTCTAGCTTTGCTTGGCTTGTTAGCTCTCATCAAAATGTTGGATTTGTAACCAAGCCTGTCTATAATGTCTTATGTATTCGGCAGAGCACGTCCTGCCTGGAGTGTGTGCTAGAAGGCTTCAGAACTTTAAACCTCCCACTGGGGAAACCAAGGTTGGCTCTGCTGTTAGACCGTGTGATAAATACAGAAATATTGAAGGTGTTCAGGACTGCTGCAAAGCATCAGAAATCCTATACTCTGTTGCCTCATCATATTTATTATTTTTTTCAATGTAGATACAGTTGTCATAACTTTTGTAAGTATGTGGATACGTTTTGACATGAAAGCAGATTGGGATGTAAAATATAACCAGCCTTTCCTAAGCAAGACACAGTAACAGTGCCATCTTGCGGCCAAGTCTCCCAGGAACAAAGCCTGCCTCTGCTGGCCGCCAAGCCGTGAATGCTGGTGCTGGCCAGGGATACAGATGCCTGCAGAGGAAGGAGGGGCTTGAGTGTTGTGTTTTTTTTGTTTTTTGTTTTTTTTTTTTTAGCTAACCTGGGTTCACCCCTTCTGTGATGCCAAGGTCAGGCCTGTAATGACTCGGGTTCCAGCAAAGGACATCTGAGCTCGTCCCTCATCCCCACTTCCTCCTCAGCAGGAGCTGAGCCAAGCAGAACAAAAGGCTTTTCACCCCATAAAAGTAGTTTTGATTTGGGAAGTGCTACAGAGGAACTGTAGGGACTACCCCGGTCTGAGTTAGCTGAGGCTATGGAAGGTCTCAACAGTGGGCCTGGGTATGAGATCGGAGCTTCTAGGCAGCTTGAGAGAGGGAGAAGAGGGAAAGCAGGGGAGACGTCCCCAGCCTGAGGGAACCCACAGTGAACTGGTGAGAACTGCAAACTCTGCTGGAGGACCTTGCAGAGAATTGCCAGATGATTCACTGGTGGATTTTTCAGAACTTCCAAAGCTCCGGTAGTTAGTGTTTGTATTGTTTCTGCTTCAAAATAAAACCACCACCACCACCACCTCCCAGATGTCTCCTAACCACAGAAGTAACATTAGCATCCCAGGTCTTTATTTTGTAAGGATGGGCTTTCTCCACTGACTCTCTCCTTCCTTTAGCAAAGCCTGTTTCTTTTTCCAATTGCTAGCAAAGGTGCAGCTGCAGGATGACATAGGGCCAGGCCCTCCAACGGATGGGATAGTTTTCCTGTGATGTTTACTGAAGCATTCAGTTTTGTTCATTGAGATGTATGCACATTTCCTCGGGGGAATTCTGACTTTTCCAGAATGAAACAGAAATGGCCTTCCTAGGGAGCAAAAGAATCGTGACTTTTCCATGATTTGTTCCCTTGATTTTCTTCACATTCTTTTCAGTTAACATCCTGCATTCTCAGTGGCACAATCAGGATTTCCTTAGCCTGTCAAATGATGCCGTTTAGTGTCTCCCTTTATTATGACTAAAGCAATCAGGAGAAAAATCTCTCATTTGGAAAGTGGAACCATCTCTTTGCAGCCTGCCTGGGCCCCAGCAATGCAGCTCCTTGCTAGAGACCTTTCAGATCAAAGTGGGCAGGTTTTGCCCTTTGGAATTTGACCTAAATGAGGCCTTCAGAACTGACTGGTCTCAGCCAAACTACACCAATCTAAATCATGAAGGAGACTCATTCCTATTAAATAACTCTCCTAGAATTGTACTTGTACAAATGACTCCTAACCTAGCCTTCCCCCCCCTTTCTCCTCTCACCACCAAATATGGAAAAACTGCTTCTGAGGTATAGTTGTAGTCATTTTCATTTTGATATTTTAATTTATATCTCTATTTTTGTAAGCTTTATATACCAGCTTTATATATTACCAAAGAGTAAACAATCACTTGTTGATTGTTGGTCTGATTCTCTATGCTTCCCTTTAAACTCTTTAGCCCAGGAAATAAGGCATTTATCTATTCGGTATCACCACTGTGCCATGTGAGTGTCCTGCTGACAAATGTCACCTTGTGTCCACAGGTACTCTGACGTCCATCACCAACTTAGCCACAAGTCTGGCCCGGAACATGGACCGGCTCTCCTTGGATGAGGAGCACTATAACCGGCAGGAGGAGTGGCGGCGTCAGCTTCCTGAGAATTTGGGAGAAGGGCTCCGGCAGGGTCTATCCAGACTAGGCCTCAGCCTCCTGGGTAATGCCTTAGCAACTGTGATTGAGTATCCTTGGCTAGTTGTATTCTGCTACACACATACACCACACACGTGCGCATACACACACACACACACACACACACACACACACACTCTCTCTCTCTCTCTCTACTCATCATGCTTTCTCAGGACACTTTTGGGGACTCAAAGCATTTTGTCAGCCTCATATTCTCTCAAAAAGATGATGAAAATAAAACAAAGCCCCAAGGCTTGTCCCAGGTCACACAAAGAGGCTCTGGGAAGGCTGGAAAAAAACAGGATTCTAAAACCCTGTTTCCTGTGCCTTCCTGTAACTATTAGGCTCTAACATCCAGAGATCAGCCTGTGCTTAAGTGAGTTCTTTCCCTCTTTTCTGGGGGTTATTCAAAAGCATGAGAGCTTTGCATTCTTTTTTTCTCTAGGACAAAACATATCTTTGGCTTTCATGTGATGCTCCAAAGAAAAGAATAATTTCCTCTTAGACACACTGAGGGGTACAGAGTCAGCCCAAGGACACTACCACATGGCTGTTGACTTTCAAGTGAATTATAGGAAAACCTTATAAAACCCATTGCCCCTTCTGCACCATAGATATTGTAGATGCTTGTTTTTGTTTGAAAACCACTTGAACAAAGTGCAGATGTCATGTAAACTTCAATGAGGAGCCTACTTTTCTAAAGAGAGCCCGATCAGGCTGACTCAGTGTAATTACTATTTGTCAAGCCGCCAGATGGTATGGTTGGAGGTGAAGATTGCTATGGATATTTCAAAATATTACAAATGTTTGAAAAGGCTTTGCTTTGGAAAAATCTATGAAAAGGAAGCTTCTGAGCTGAAATTCTGTGGAACACGGTTTTCAAGAGTATTTTTGTTTGTTGCCCCAGCAAAGGAATTTAAAACTGTATTGCTTGGCAAGCAGCCTCGGTGTATCTGAAGGAGTATGCTGCTCACAGAGATCAAAGTGGTCCAAAGCAGCCCAGAGCCAGAGGTTAGAGAAGATGAGCCTGAGAGGACTGATTCCCTTCCTCATCTTCAGCACTCAGCACAGCTCCACATCTTTGCAACCACAGCCCAGAAGGGGCCCCAAGAGGAAGTGGTAAAACGTTACAAGTTCAGGTTAAGTTACTGGAAATTATTTAAGCAATAACATTCGATGGTGTGGGCCGCTGTTATTTGATAATGCCTGGATACTAAGAAGCAAATGAACTAGGATGAAAACATCGTATAAAGGGAATGGTAACGTCGTCTTTGTGAAGTAGCAGTCCTGTGGCAAGTGGCCCTGCCCATGTCTCATAGAACCAGAGGTTTACAAGGGCTTGTTTGTGAAGGGCGCATCTTTAGAAGGGGGACTTGAGCAGAAAGAGGTGAGCTGAGGAGTGAATGTTTTCATTTGTATCTCTTGGGATTATGTATCTGTGGCTCAAAGGAGTGGTAATGAGGCTAAAATGTGGTGTTTTTGAATCATCTTATGCTAATTTTCATCATTCATTCATTCGTTCATGTATTCAAGCATCTATTAAGTGCCTACTATGTGCCAGTGGCATAGTTTTAAATCCCCATCGTGCTCAGTACCCATCAGTGACTCCAACCTTATCAGCAAATGGAAGCCCAGGTAGGCTGTAGCTCCATAGCAGTGGTAGAATCAAGATTTGGATCCAGATCGAATGCTTGGCTTTCAGGTACAGACTGAATGTGTCCCATCATCCCATCCCTCCACCTAATTTGAAATGCTTGGGATCCTGCCACATGTTACAAATAAGGCCTCTCTTCAGCACTGTTGTTGATGGGGAACAGTGAATCAGCCACTAAAAATATATTGAATGCTGTTTTAGGCTAGAAAACTCCAAGGGAATCGAGAAGTCTTCTTGACCAGTCTTAGCAATCTTTACTGTAGTCTTTGTTTCCTATCGTTCCATACCCCAAAGCATCAAAGAACATGCTATCTTGCTTTTTCAGAGGTTTCCACTGGTATTTTTAGAAAGCTGGTCCTATGTCTGTGTCATTAATAAGAATAAAAGTAGGCATTCTGCATCTCCTGAATACCTGCATGTTGTTTAGTTGGAATGATAGGGTTTTGAATATATGACATTCTACTGTGAATGCTAATTGGGTGCCAGCAAGCTCCAGAGTCCTAATGCCAGGGGCATTTCTAGAGTTTTCATGTTTTCATGGTCCCTAGAGCATATGTCCAGACCAAGACAGGTGAGGGTGGTCTGGTCCAAAGCTATTTTCACAGCTCTAAGCCTAGAGAGGCAGTTTGGTACATGAAAGAACATGAAACTTGAAGTCAAAAAACCCAAGTTTGAAGCCTGGTTTTACCACTAACTAGCTGTGGATGATGAGCAAATTACTCCATCTCTCTGACTCACTATAAAACCTGAATAAGAATATGTACTTCACATGGGTTGTCATGAGGACCAAGCAAGATAAAGTTTTTTAAATGATCTGCAATTCCTAAGGTGCTACATATGGGTCATTATTCCTGAATGTGAATATGCCATTATTCCTAAATAGTTGGTCTATTTCTCTTAGTCCTGGATTCCAGTCCATTTCTGAAAGGAAGCCAATTTGTTCCAGAGCAGCTGCTGTTTCCCAGCCCCTGAGAGGCCAGTGAACCTGTCTGGGAGTACTCTGGATCTGTATACACAATACTGGCCCCGAGATTCAGAGGGATACAGGCCAGGGCACAAAGGGAACTGAGGCTGATGATGCTGTCCAACCCAAACTCATCATCTCTCACTAGGTGATGTCCATTGCTTTTCTGGCAGGCACCATCATACAGGCAACAAGGTAGTCTATAAGCATAAGAAGACTCAAGTAGAAGGAAGAAGGAAATTTGTGTGGGTTAAGAAGGCATAAAAACCCTCTAGAGGCTTTAAAAACAGGAAGGGTACATTTGACTTGAAATCCCAAGGCCCAGGTTCTAGTCTGAGCTATGGGTCTCTCGACAAAGTAGCCTATCCTTTTGGGTGTCTGTGAAAACTTTGGAATAATTAATCTGGAATTCTTACCAATCATTATTACAGATTATATTATTTCATCATATAATTTTATTATTAAATTAAACATCGATCTTTATTTTGGCTATTCTTTGTAGAAAACAGTCATAGCTCTTTAACGTGCCAGGCCTAACTCATTCCAGTGACACAGGAACTGTTTATAGCTTCGGTTATCCTCAGAGTAAGGGTTCGGTGTCTAGTTTCCTAAATGCAAACAGGTATTCAAAGTGAAACTTTTCTTTGATCTTCCGTTTTCTTCAGCCACTGACTACAGTGAAGGCTGTCATTACTGTAGTTTCAATAAACTCTTTCAATATCCAGAAAAGTAGAAAGACTCAAAATTATGGCAAAACGTAACTCAGATGCTCTCCATGCAAGAACAAGCTGCCAAATCACATGCCTTCTGGTTAATATAAAGAGAGCACTTTGTGAGCGTAAAGGTGGCACCATCACACACTCTAACTTCTTATTGATTACCAGTCAGGTATTCGCCCTTTCCTTGGCACTATATGTATGTAACACACTAATAAATTGAGGGCCCACTGGGTAATATGCAAACAAAGCCTGACGCTGCAATCATAGTCTGTTCACCATAACCTGGAAAGAGTTAGACCTCTTAGAAGAACGTACAGATGTTACTCCCCTATTAAGCACCATCTAGCTCAGTCCTACAATAGCAAATTATTTACTTTGCTTTTATATGCTCACACTCCTCTCTAAAATAATAAGAAATAAAAAACGATTCCAAAAGACTTGTGCTGTGCTCCAGGAATTTCTCTGCTGGAGTTGGGCCCGTAGGAGACTGTGACCACATGGAGATGGCTGTGATTTGACAAAACAAGGGCAAGGAGCAGTTTCCTTGGCGGGTGCTTTACGCATAAAAAGAGAAACCCGGACGAAGAGAGCCTTCTACATGTAGGGCTGGGGGCAAGAAAAGAGAAGTCACGTGAAGAGAAGTCTCTGCAGGTCTGGCGCACAGCTCAGAGGGGCCTCTGGGAAGAAGGAGCACCTGAGACGGGGTGATTCTGCACCACTTAGCACATGGACATGTCTACACAGGATGTTCTTTATTCTCATCAGTCTAAGCAGATTTATGTTGACAATAGGAAACTGTCAAAGATTACTAGGAGACTTTGTTTTCTTATCCGTATTGAACATCAAGGGAAATTTTTACTGGAAATTGACTGCTGGTCAGGCCTTTGTGTTTCCCAACTAAAGAAAAACATGAGCTTGGAGAGGCTTTAATTAACCTTAAAAAGCAAGACTGGGAAATACTTTCTATCTGTAATGATATCCAAGTGTGTATTCAAAATGTTATTATTATTATTACACACAAAGATATAAGCAGTGGTCACCAACACTTCTCCACCCACTAAAACTAATGGATACACTATATTGTACGGGATTTAAATAAGAGACAAGAAAGAATTTTGAGTAGTGGTTGGTAAATGCTGGTGTGGCAGAACTCTGCAATGTATTGAAAACAGGTTTAATTCTTGTTTGCCTAGTTTGGTTCGAATACCGTGTTTTCTAACTGCCAGGTTTACAATGAATGATTTCTTAAAGTCCCATCCTAACCCCCAAGACCATGTGATGGAATGAAGATAGCATTGGACTTGGAGACTGAAGGCCTGGGTTCAGGTCTTGTCTCTGACACTCACTACCTACACTGAATAGTCCTGTGACTATGGGCAAATCATTTCATCTCTCTGAGGCTCAGTTTCCTCATCTGTAAAGTGGGACTAATGAGTAATACTTGCAGTCCCTGCCTCCCAGAGTGGTTGTGTTTGCCTTAAGGCACTAACTACGTAGATATGAGTCATTACTGGAAAGAACAAGCCATCCTAATAGGCATCTTCCTAGCTCTGCTTCCAAAACAAAGTAGCCTAATTGCATGGAAGGGGTGGGTTGTGTTTGACAGAGGGGCTTGTCAGTGGGGACCACTATCCTTTTTTTTGGACTAGGAACTGAACTCCAGTGTGTTAGATTGCTGTGGGCTAAACCCTCTCAGAGAGTTAGATCATTTTGAAGAAGACAGTAAAAGTTTAACTTAAACAAAGCCAAAATTGTGTTCAGATCATTGGTATAGTGAAGGACTTACAATGAGGGTGGAGTTCTGTTTTCAATCCAAATAAAATTATGTTCCAGATTTAAGGATTTTTTCTGGTCCAGGGATTTAAATCCTCATTAATTACTGGTGATTTTTGTTGTTCCAGGTGCAATTGCTGGTATTGTAGACCAGCCAATGCAGAACTTTCAGAAAACATCCGAGGCCCAGGCATCAGCCGGCCATAAGGCCAAAGGCGTTATCTCCGGTGTGGGAAAAGGAATCATGGGGGTGTTCACCAAGCCCATTGGAGGAGCGGCAGAGCTCGTGTCACAGACAGGCTACGGTAAGTTCTACTTCATGCGCCTCGGAAGGAGAATGGCTGGTGTCATGGAGCAAGCCACAAGGCCTGGGTGCAAGTCCTGGTGCTACCACTTAAAAGCCAAGTGGCCTTTACCTCCCTAGGCCTCAGTTTCCTTCTCTGTAACATGAGGGGATTGGAATAGATGTCCCTCCAATCCCTAGCATTCCATGATGTCATCCTGATACGTGAAGTTCTGGTTGACTTGAAGTCATTCACATGCAGAAGAATTACAAGTAAACAGATGCACAGTGGCTGCCTTTCTCTCTGTTTCACCTCATCACACTGACTTGCACGAAGATGTTTTAGTTTCATGGAATACCAAAGAAGTAGAATTACAACTCACTATAAAATCCTTTCGTAGATCCAGACAATCAATTAGTGATTTCAGCCTACATGCCGCTGCTGAAGCATTTTATGACCCATTAAAAGACTAGTCTTTTATCAGAAGTAACCAGGAAGAGGCATATGTGTGCCACACATGCCCACAAGCGCCCCAGCCTGCGTATTTGGTGGGGGGGAGATTGGCACTTGGAGTTAAAAAGAAGTGTTACAGCAGGAAAAAGAATGACGATTTTTTCCAATGGGAAATTTGAAAGTAAAAGTGGGTTGTGGGCAGGCAGGAGGACCTCTTGGAATTCCAGCGTTTTCTGAGAGGGAATTGGCCCAGTGTATGTGGTCTCTGGTTTTATAAGATGCTCTGACCTGAGAAGTGCCTATGAGGGGAAGAATTCCCAGCCTGGACTACTCACTCACTGAAGACCTCTGGTTCTAGAAGCTAGATATGAGGAGTGTTCATGCAGGTTATTCTGCTTACAGAAACTTCTTTCTCAGAATAGGGGATAGGCACAGAAAGTGGGCCTGTGATTACATTGGTATAGGGAATTCCCAGGTGGGGAAAATTCCTCTCTCACAGCAGGTCATCACCTTCTCTGCAGCCTAGAGTCTCAGGGAGCTTTATTAGAGCACTGAGAGCTGGTGACTGGCTCAGGATCCCAGAACCAGTACACTCGAACTCAGAGTCTTTCTGGCTTTCAAGCTCTATCCACTAGGCCTCTCTGCAAAATAGAGAACTCAGAATGGTGTTCCAGAATAAGGAAAATGATTAAGGCTCTTCACATGGAGAAAACCCAGGGGTTTTCATGTAAAGTATCCCCGCTCTCAATTCCTGTCTTAAGTCTTTAATAAAATTCTCAATCAGAGCACTTTAAAGTGACTTCTAATCGTTGTGACTTTTTTCACTGTAATTGTTTAAATGCCAGTGGCAGTGCTGTCAGCCACGATTTAAGAAGTGTTTCCAGGCTGTGGGAATCTTCTCCTGCTTGTCTGCTGTTCTTCAGGTAGAGACGCCCTGCAGCCTTTATCAGGGTATAAAAAGCACAGAACACATTTCCCCACAACCCACCGTGAACCTCAGGTAGATCTGACCCAGGCTAGTCAAACATAAAAATACATCTCCATGATATGTGATGAGCAGGAAATGAATGTGTAACAGTTAGATGAACTTTCACAATTGGGATTATGTCTGAGAGAATCCTGGGTGGGGCGACCACACAGAAATCAACATAGGGTCTTTTCTAGGCATCCCCCTCCCTTCTTCCTCCCTTTCCTCTTTATTTCACTCTCTCCATCTGTAAATGACGTTTTTGCTCACACAGCAATAGACAAAACTCTGTGAGTAAGACTTGCAACTGGAACACCATTCCTAAGGATTACCAGCAAAATAGACATTGAAAGTTAAACTCCGTTTTCATATGCTTATGCTTTAGTGAAAATAGCTCTCCTTTCAACATGGAGGTTTCCCCAGATCCGAGGGCTGTGGCGCTTCCTCAGCTGCCTTTGTTCGGACCATTCTGTGCCTGGCTGTGTATTTCTCAGGCCTACCTTAGAGAAGGCGAACATCTCCAGGAGCATCACATGGCCTCTCTGGGCTTCCATCATTCTTGTAAATTTTTTATTATAGCACTGAAGTTTTTACAAACCACTAACTCTCAGCCTAATGACTAAGCCTCATTTATAAACATTTCCAAGCCATCAGAAAGCACACATGCTGTACCATCTTCAGTCTTGAAAAGCTTATTTGGAGACCTGTGAAGCTACTTCTTGTAACTTTCATTCAATGCTGGCACTAAGAAGAGCTCCTAATAAACCAGATGCCCCAAGTAGTCTCATAAATGTATATGGAGCCATGTTTAACAGCTGGATTAAGTAACTCAACATTTAAATATAGTATCTAGGCAAACTGTGTGTGTTGTGTTTTTTTATTATTTTACCAACCATGACACAGATATGGAAGTATTTTAATATTAAGCAGGAAAGTTAACAAGTCCTGACGTCTGTACATAAATTGTAAATGATGTGTATGATTCTCTTCAAGAATGATCGCCCTCAAGAGTATTGTCCTTTCTCTAATTGCTAGGATGTGCCTGGATTTTAGGACATTCATATTTTAGTTTGTAGCTAATGCAAGATCACGAGGGTTAAGTGCATTGTAATGTTTAATGGATCATCTATACCCTCGCCTCCAAAGATGTGACATCATTTTGGATTTGTACTGTTTTATGGCCTGCTCTAAACAGATGACATCACTTTATCATGCAACTGTTTTCCAGAAAACAACCAGTCAGACTCTTATTTCTCTCACCACAGGTATTTTACATGGAGCTGGCCTTTCTCAGCTTCCCCAGCAGCGCTATTATCCAAGAGATCAGCATGCTGACCAGGCTCCAAACAGCCATGTCAAATACGTCTGGTAAAATTATTTAGACGCTTGCTCATTTTTACATTCACGTTGTTTATTAATGGGTCCTGGCTTGCTGTCCGACTGACAGGCCTCTTCTTCTGGAGAGCAGGGGGGAGCAGGGTTTTCAGGCATCAGAAACACGGAGGTCTTCCAGTGGACCAGGGAGAGGAGACTGCTGCCCCTCCAGACTCAGGCCGTAAGCTAATATGTCCCTTTCACCATTTGGTAAAGAAAAGAATGTGCCTTTGAGAAACCCTGGTCCAGAAGACAGCCCTTCCCCTTGAGCTGGGATCAAAACCAACTTTCCAAGGGGTATTTTTCCAGTGAAAAGAGAAAACTGCTGACCAGTGGAGGCAGAAATCTGTGCCCAGGAGAAGGCAGTCTGACAGAGATCATTCTCTGCTCTGAAGCGGGCAGAAGTCAGCATTCAGAATGGAGTGGGCATTGCTAAGAGGAGAGTGGAAAAGGTTAAGTCCTGAAAGTTGGATGGCAGAAAGCTTAAGTAATTTTCTTTTACAATCTTGTGCTTCCAATATCATTTTCTTCCTTTTTAAAACAGGAAAATGCTGCAGTCCCTGGGGAGGCCAGAAGTCCACATGGCCTTGGATGTCGTTCTTGTGAGCGGCTCAGGCCAGGAACATGAAGGATGCTTGCTTTTAACATCAGAAGTGCTCTTTGTCGTCAGTGTGAGTGAAGACACACAGCAGCAAGCCTTTCCCATCACTGAGGTCGACTGTGTCCAAGATGGCAAGCAGAGGAACCTGCTGAAGGTACAACTCAGGCAGCCCAGAGTGACCTGTGACGTAGAGGTGAGTATCCAACTTTGCTTTTACGTACCAACAACGAAGTGAGCACTCCATCCTGCATGGAGATGGGCAAGACGAGCTGAACTGAGTCTTCAGGCCTGATTCCAGTAACCTTACAAGAATTTGTGAGTGTAAAGTTCCCTTGCTTTCCACCTGGACCCTCATCTGCAACTGAGGCTGTCTGCAGAGGTGGCAGATATAATGAGAGGAGGAAAGATGGTGACGGTGGCAAAAGCATTGTGAAGGGCCTACCCCAGATGCCGCCCTATAACCTCCATACCCAAAGCCCAGTGATAGGCAAAAAGTAGGTTCACAGCTTAGGATGCCAAACAACTGGGATGGGACAGTCGCTTATCCACATTTGGGTGTGCTCAAATGGGCAGGGTTGGAGCTATGGCAGGCGAAAGCTGGAGCTGTCTGTCACCCCCCAAGACATTTATAAAAATCTAAAAAATGATGGCAGAAAGTCAGCCCTCTAGCAGGCTCCGTGCGTCGTTAGCCACCGCATGCTGAAGAGAAGAATTTCCCCTGCCCTGTGTCTCTTCTCTTGCCCATGTCAGAGGTAGATGAGGGAGCAGAAAGAACACTGGATCTGGAGAAAGAGGATCCAAGGTCAAACCCACCTCTGCCATTTACAGGCTACAGAAACTTAGACAAATCCCTTCCCTTTTCTGGGACTCAGTGTCCACATCCAGATCCCTCTCTATGGATAACGTGGCTCGGGCCCTCCATGCCATGTGCAAGAAGACTGGTGTTTGTTGTGGGTGTTCTGGAGTCAAGGCTGTGTTTCTCCTCTCTCTGCTGTGTGTGGGTTAGGTGAGGACCATTATCAGGGCACTCATGGCTGCAAAAGTGTAAAACCAGAACCTAAGGGTTCAGGAGAACATAGGATGAAGCTGTCAAGCCAACAGGGTTGCCCCTTTTTCTTCCCCCTTCCACCACATTCCAGGGGTCAAAGTATTGTTAAGAAATAGAACTGCCAGGGACTGTTTTCCTTTCTAGCCAGCATCTTTGTGCTCTTTTCTGTGTTTGGGAATTTTCCTGGGTCTCCTTTTGTCTGCCTGACTGATCATTAGGTAATAGTTATTGGATGCCCATGGGATGCATGGCACTAAGGTCTTTGGGAAGATGAGGTGAGCAGCGACCTGAGGACAGCTCTCCTGAGTTCTTGCAGCCTTGCCCTAGAGTGAACAAGGGCCTCTCTGCCCCTCCCAGCTGAACTTCAACCCTATTTCGGGGCCATCGGCATCCGACCCCAATCTGATCCTCTGAACGAGGCCTCCTTTGAGCCCAATTTCAAATTAGTTTCTTACCCAACCAGAAATGTGGCTGTTGATCACAAGGTGGCACCTGCTTTCCTAAGTCACAGTGACTTGGAATGGCCACTAGTCTTCAGAGAAAATGACAAAGTCCCGTCTTCTGGAAATGATTTGATTTCCAATAGTCCTAGTATTAAAGACTACTTCTCTCATACCACTGTTTGGGGCAGAGTTATCTGAGAAGATGGGAGCAAGCCAATGACAGCAACTTGTAGATTTCTTTAGTTTCCTGGATCACAATCAGTCAGGCTTTAAACCGTGGCTTCGCATCAAGACCACATTGCTGTTTTGAGTTGATGACTTTCTGGGGATAAACAGAGGTCATATGTCCAAGCTAACTTTATTCGATCTGCCAAAACTGTTAGCTTCAGTTGACAATAAAGTAGTGCTGATTTGGCTTCAGGACCTGGCAGGGGGAAATAACATTGTTTTCAGGTGACTCCCCTTAGTGCTTAATGAGATGTCTCAGAGGACTTGCTGGGTAATTGTGACTGTTCTCATTCGTTTGGGAAACACTGCGCTCAGGCTGGTGGGACTGACTGCAGATTCATCATCTGACATTGACCGAGTTATCTCTACTTTCCTCAAATTAGATCTTTCTCCTTTCCCAGATGGGGTAGGAACTTAGGGAGTCACCTTTATTGGAGGGGAATTGGGGTCAAAGGAGATGACAGCTTGAGCTACTGCTGCTGGAAGCTGCCAGGTGCTAGTAGAGGCCTCAGCATCATTTCAGAAACATTTGACTGGGTGTGGTGGTGGAGACTGGAGTCCTGGGGCCCAGCTTCGAATCTTGCCTTGATCACTTAGTACTTTTGGAAACCAAAGCAGGTCCCTCCCTTCTCTGGGCCACTTTCCTCATCTGCAAGATGAGGGGGCTAAAACTCACTCTAGGATCCTATGATCATGGCCCTTCATTGGTTCATCTACTTATGCAATAAGCATTTATTAGGCACCTACTGCATGCAGACACTGAACTGAGTGCTGGGGGTACAAAGACAGATACCAGCTAGTCCCTATCCTCAAAGAGATACATTCTACTGTGGGGAAACATGTTCAAAGAAAATGTAAAATAAAAACAATATAAGCAAAGTAATTACTAGCATGGAGAGAGTTCTAGCCACTGAAAGGAAGAAGAGGAGGAGAAGGAGGAGGTCTTGTATAGGAGACAGCACTTGAGCTGAACCTTGAAGGAAACTAGGAATTTAGAACATTCCAGGCACAGGGGCCGGCCTCTGAAAAGGCTTAAATGCAGAAGAAGGGCAGAAAGCAACCTCTGGGACCTCCTGTTCATTGCCAGGGCAAGGCTTTGAAAAGAGCATCAGCGCCGCTTTAGGCCTGTCCCAGGGTTGCTGCTTTAGGTCACTTCCATCTTCATCTTCCCAGAGAATTTAGCTTAGTGCCACACAACCTCTGGGCATCTGTAACTGAAATAGTCCATGAAGAACAGCAATGTACAAGCAATCCTGAGAATGTAGACTGAAACTCAGCTTGTAGAGGGCTTTCAATTCCAAAGTCATTTTGTTTTATTTATTTGTTTATTTTTTAGTGAGGCAATTGGGGTTAAGTGACTTTGCCCAGAGTCACACAGCTAGGAAGTAGTATGTGTCTGAGGCCGGATTTGAACTCAGGTCCTCCTGAGTCCAGGGTCGGCGCTCTATTGACTGCGCCACCTGGCTGCCCCCAAGCAGTTTTATTTTAACCTGTGTGGTGAAAGAGCCGATGCTGCTTCTTAAGCATGGGGGTGCATGGTCAGATCTTTAGAAATAGACAGTAGAGGTTGGATGGGAAAGCAGAGAGACTGCAGGCAGGCAGAGGGGACAAGGGCCTGAATTAGAGCGGCTGGTGGCCATGTGAGTGGAAGAGAGAAGACAGTCAAGAGATGTGGATGTAGAATCAGCAAAACTTGGTACCCAGTCAGATGTGAGGGTGAGAAAGAGGGGAAACTTTTGGAGGAAAGAGGATGAGCATGGCTCATCAGGTAGGGTGTAAAAGAAATGTCCCACATCCAGCAGAGGTCAGCAGTTGTTGATATAGGACAGTATTGGAGGGAAATGACATCAAGAGAGCTAGCAGCCTGGAGTTTAAGATAATTGAATCCACTGGAGTTGGTAAGATCGAGAGAGAAAATGTAGAGGAAAGAAAAGAGACCCAGGACAGAGCCTTGAGGGACACCTGTGCATAAGGGGTGGAACATGGATGAGGCCCCCACAAAGGAGACCAGGAAGCAGTCAGATAGGCAGGAGAAGAACCAGGGGAGAGTAGGGCCATGAACATGCAGGAAGGAGAGAGTGTGGAAGAGGATCTTGGGGTCTGTGTGTAGATGAAGGCCTGACTGGCAGAATCAGGCTGTCCAGGGAAGCAGTCTTTATCCTGACATGACACAGAAATAGATGAGGGTGTGATAAAGTACCTCTGGTCACTTCATTTTCTTGCTTCCCTTGTTTCTGGTTCTATCTTCCCTCACTTGAGAACCCATAGAAAGGAAATGGAAATGGCACATCACTTCAGCATGAAGCTGATTCCCTCTTTCATGCCATTGGCTAAGTTACCTTTATCTTCTCTGAACCCACACCCACAACTCAACCTCTTTGCCCTGTGAAGAAAAATCCTGAGCAGCAGAATAAAGTACTCGTTTTTCTGTAAGAGCCTCAGGCAGAAGGCTGCGGTCTCCTGCCATCTTGCTTCTGTGCAGACCTCTGCTCTGCCGTCTTCTCAGCAGCCTTGCTGTGGCAGCATCCCTCTCAGCTCCCACACCAGTGGCTCAGGCTGCAGTGTGCCATGTACCCCACTTCCTCCTGTCTTCTGCTTCCAGGAAAACAAGAACTTTCATCTCAGGCCTGTTCATAGTGGCTTCTTCTGCTCTGACCCTTTTACTTAGATGCTGCAAAACCAGGCTTCCCTTGGATTTTGGAAGGAATTAATTTGCAGATGACATCATGTAGCATATTCAAATGTGGAACAAGATTTTTTTCAAAGCAACCCTGACTTTTCTTGGTCACAGGTGCCATTTTTAGGGTAATAATTGCTTAATGTGCCTGGCACACTGCTGATATCTCTTACGAAAGACTCCAAATGAGTCAGGAGGGGCAGTTTATTCATTGGCTCTGTTCCTTTCACAACACGGGGTTTTCCTGTGCTGCTGTTCAGGAGAAGCAATTAAGCCTTGAGTCCACCCTGCTGTGCTCCCCAGCTGAAGGCTGACCCCATTCCATGTGATGAGCAGCCCCTCCTCTCTGTTACGGTCAGTGGAGGCCTTCTTCTGCCTTCGATGGGAGGGACAGGAATTGTATTACAGTTGCTGAGGTCCTTAGTAATGTCATCTAGTATATGATGTAGTCTAATCTTTAATACTTGGTAATGTAGACTAGCATGTCCCTCCTCCTTTCACCTCTCTGCAGTTGTATGGGTCATTTTTTCTTTTCTGTTTTGCACTTTTATAAAATATGCCTGAGTTCCATAGGGCACAGTTGTTGGGGTTTTGTTTAACAAGCTGCAAAGCCATCTTCATCATTCCTTGGCTAGTTGGATCCTCCAATATTTAAAGTCATGTGAACATAGATAATTTCCCTAATGGTCTAAACTGGAAGCTTCCCAGGCCACTCTTCTACACACTCTGTCCATTGTATTAGGGTGGGAAAAATCATTTATGGCCCTAGTTATCCTCCCAGAAAATCTAATAGAATCAGCCCAGGTAGCATCACAGTTCCTCAACTTCAACTTCTTTGAAGATGGGCCAGACTTTTATGAACCGTAAATGTACTTTGCATTCCCCCTCACTTTTTTTTTTCATAAAAATTTCCTCTTGCTCTGCCCAGTATTACTATTTTTTCTGGCTTTAAAGACTAATATTTATAAAAACAGAAAATGTTGTTAGAGTTTGGTGTTTATTTTTAAAGTTTCTGTCCAAAGCCACTGTTTTGAAAATGGTTGAGATTTCCTTGCATCTTCTGTCGGACCAGAATCGTTCTGTACAAGCTGAGTCCTGAGTTAATAAGACCAATCAATCTTGAACGAAGTAAGCAGAGTGAAGACCTCTTTCTCCATTGTGCTTGGGCTCACTGGTGAAAGTAGCAGCAGATGTTTTAATACCATTAATGAGGAAAATGTGAGCAAACTGTCAGATGCAAACATGACATGCTTTATGCAATTTCAGCTGCTCCCACTAAGATTGACGACCATTCCCAACACAGAACTTTCCCTCTTCTAATAGGGAGGGTGCCACTGTGGCCCTGTCCGAAAAAAAACTTTTCCCTGCTTTAGATACATGGCAAAGAGGCATTAGAATAATGCAGCAGCTCTCCTGCTAGCCTTTTCTTGGGAGAAGGCTCATGGGCAGTGATGATTCTTTATTTTTTATTCTAGGTGGATGGTGCCAGAGAAAGGCTGTCTGAACAGCAGTACAACAGACTTGTCGACTACATCACAAAAACATCATACCATCTTGCCCCGACTTCTTCTACACAGACGCCATGTCCTGTGGTGGCCGTGGAACCCTTTCCTTCCACGGTGAAAACTTACCATTATCTGGTGGATCCAAGTTTTGCTCACGTCTTTATTAGCAAGTTCATTATGGTGAAGAACAAAGCCCTTCGGAAGGGCTTTCCCTGAGTCCTGGTGTGACGGAGGGAAGGATAAAAACAAGCAATGAAGCCTGTTTTATTAATATGTGATATGGAACCAGGATGTTAACGGTCACCCCAGTCTTCCCGGAAACTCTTCTGAAATCCCTTCGAGAAGAGCCTTAAATCTGGTTCTGCTGCCCCTGCCCCTCCCCTGGTCACCCATGGCTCAGGCCCACACACCACAATGCGATTAGCAACAACAAAAGTAACAACCTTAGAATGAGGGCCCCCTCCCCCTTAAAGGAGATGACAACAGGAATCCTGCACACAGTAGTGTTGTCATCGAGCATTATTATTTCTGCCCTGTAACTCCATTTGCAAAAGTTTCCATAGTAATTCAAGATTTATAACGGTTCCTCCAAAAACAGAATGTGGTCAGCCTGGAGAACCGCTAGCTCAGCACTCCATTCCCAGCTCCAGTATTGCTGAGCTAATAATAAGCCCATGCGCCTGTCCCATAACCTGCCCATGCCTCAGTGCCCCTGTCTGTCCTGGCAGGGTCACAATGATTTGTGGAGCTAGTCAGCCACTTGAGTGAAGCCCTACACAAGTGCCAAGTGTTCTAATAAGTTGCTCAAGGCTTAGTCACATGTCACCCATGGAATTTGAAACAGTTGAATGTGGCTCCTCTAGTTCGCACCTCCCTAGCTTAAAAATGGCCTGTTTAATTGAAACTTTGTAGAGCATTTTAGTTGATTAGGACCCTGTGTGTTTTGGAAAATAAGCTGGAGCCTGCAATGTTTGTGTTTTAAATATCTGTGTATGGTTGTCATGACCATTTTTTCCCTTCATCTGAAAAGCCTCAACTTTGCCTAGATAAATGAACTGTTAATCTTTGCTGGAAGAAACAATGGTATTGCAAATCAACAGGGTTCAGGTAGGTTTCTTTGCCACCATAAACCACATTTCAAGATCTGGAACTCCCTTTGTAGATCCCCTGCCAAAGGAATTAATGGAGGGATTTCTAATTCCATGTTGAGGTCAAGAGGAGTTAGAAGGCCTGTCATTAATTCTCAAAATGACCTAAATCCAGAGAGCCCCTTCAGCTGAGGAGGTAAGAATGAAAGAAAGTTATAAAAACATTCCCAGCAGATAGGTCCCAAATGATTTTTTTTAACCCAGTTTTCAGAATGTCCATTTTCATTTCTGAATAGTTTTTGTTGAAAAATGTGGCTTCAGTTATCTTCAATTTGAAATTTGGTAGCCTGTAGTCTAGGCTATATAATGTTAAACGTTTGGCAATTTCTCACAAACTTAGGAGGTCATAACTTATTACCTACAACTAGGAGATACTATGAAAATGCACACTGAAGTCTTTATCCAAAGGCCACATTTTGTTGGACTTTTCAAGAACATGAACACAGCTGTTTCTGAAAACCAAGATTGTATATATAGTTTTTTCAAAGAAATGTTAAGCTTCAAATCTGAATAATCTGTGCTGAATGTAAAATGGTCCATCCACTTATGAAAATAACTTGTCTTGCAGTGTGACAATTTTGTCATTTGACCTGAAGGGTAACTATTAAAAAGATGTAAATATGTATTCATTCCTGAATATTTCATGGCACACAATTTAATACTGCTCATTTTACAAATTGCTTCCATAAATTGTAATATAAGATTGTTTAAAATAAAAGTATTCCTAGATGATTTGGTGACTTAATATATATGAAATATATATTACAAACATTAGAGCATTTCATACTTCAAATATGCCACAACAGTTGGCATTTAATGCAGACCATAATAACTCCTTTTATTGTGACCAAAACTGAATGACTATCCCCGTATTTCTGACGTATTTTGATGATCTTCATTGGAGAAAAGCATTAACAAACAAAAAACTTGTCATAATAAATGTATTACCAAGTAAACCCTAAACTAATGCCCCGGTCTCCTTTGCTGCTTGTTCATCCGTGTGCCATAACCAGGAGTGCCCCCCGAACCTCTGTCCTCGACTCTCTTCTCTTTTTGCTCTGTACTGTCTGACTCAGTGACCTCATCAATTCCCGTGTGTTCAGTTATCACCTCGAACATTCTTCCCAGATCTCAGTATCCAGCCTGAAGCTCTCGGCTGAGCCAGTGTCACATCTCTAACTGCCTCTTGGACATCCCAAACTGGATGTCCTATGGAAATCTCAAACTAAATATATCCAAAGCAGAACTCCCTTTCTTTTCCCACAGACCCTCTTCTTACACCTTGCCTCCCTCAAAACCTTCTAAGATCCAGCTGCATTAGGAAATAAGCACAAAGTGGAAGAGGCCACCAAGGGACATGAGTAAGATCCAATATCCCAGGCTTACCTGGGCAAGCACATGTCCTCAACGCCATGTGTTCATAGCCACTATGGATCCTTGGGAGGAATAGAAAAGATATCTCCTCCCACCTCCCCCTGGCTGAACATCCAAGGAAACTGTTGCCTGTTACCTGGGTTGTTTTTTTTCCTTGCTCTCTTATAATAGAGGGGGCAGCTCTTCCTTACTCAGCTCCCTGCCTAACACAGCATCCAGTCAGGGGGACACACAGGGCCAACTCGGTGCTGTTGGTCAGGCATATCTTTCAGTTAGGGGCCCAAGCATGTAGCCTGCAGTAATAGACCGGGGCATGTATTCAATCCCATCACCCCTGTTACATTGGTATAGTGGAGAGGCCTGTAGTCAGAAAGACCTGGGATCCCACCTCCATGTATGGTGGGATAGATTTCTGTACCCCATTTCCTGTATTTCTTATTTCCCAGTTGCATGTGAAAACATATTTTTTAAAAACATGCATTTTTAAAACTTTGGGTTCCAAATTTTCTCCCTTCCTCCCTCCCCACCCACCCTTACTGAAAAGGTAAGCAACTCAATATAGGTTATACATGTGCAGTTATGCAAAACATTTCTGTAGTAGACATGCTGTGAAAAACTAACTCTATTTCCCTTAATGCTATCCCGCTCCCCCATTTATTCTATTCTTTCTTTTGACCTTGTCCCTCCTCAGAAGTATTTGTTTCTGGTTACCCTCTTTCCCAATCTGCTCTCCTCTCTATCATCCCCCTACTCTCTTGTCCCCTCCCCCCCCCACCATTTTCCTGTAGAGTAAGACAGATTTCCATACACAATTGAGTGTGTATATGTTATTCCCTCCTTAAGTCAAATCCTATGAGAGTGAGATTCACTCATTCCCTCTCACCTTCCCCTGTTTCCCCTCCACTATAAAAGCCTTTTCTTTTCTGTTTTTTTGTGAGATAATTTACCCCGTTCTACCTCTCCCTTTCTCCTTCTCCTAGTATAATCCTCTCTCACCCCTTAATTTTATTCTCCAGATGTGACCCCTTCATCTTCAACTCACCCTGTGTCCTCTTTCTATCTATCTATATATACATACATATAATTCTTTCCCTCTAACTACCCTAATACTGACAAAGGTCTCATGAGTTAACAAATATCATCTTTCCATGCAGGAATGTAAACAGTTCAACCTTAGTAAGTCTCTTATGATTTCTCTCTCCTGTTTAGCTCTTCATGTTCCACTTGAGTCTTGGATTGGAAAGTCAAATTTTCTATTTAGCTCTGTTCTTTTCATCAGGAATGCTTGAAAGTCCTCTATTTCATTGAATATTCAATGAAAATGAAATACAATTCTATTTCTCTCCATTAGGCTAACATCCTCATTCACACCATCATTTCTCACCTGGACTACTTACTTCTATAGCATCCCAGTTAATCCCTCTCTGCTTTCTAAGTCTCCCTTCTTTCCAATCCACTCTCCAAACAATTTCCAAATTGGGACTCTTGGGACACAGGTATGGCTGGGTCACTCCCCTACTTAAAAATCTTCTGTGGTTTCCTATGTCCTCTAGGATGAAATATAAACACTTAGCCTAATGAAGGCCCTCCACAATCCAACTCCAATTTAACTTTCCAGACTCACTTTAAATTAATCACCTTCATGCCTTTATGTTTCTTTTTTTTACTCACGTATTTTATTTTTTCCCCAGTTACATATAAAAATGATTTTTAACATTCAGTTTTTTCAAGTTTAAAGTTCCAAATTCTATCTTTCCTTCCCTCTTCCCCCACTCCCTGAGATGGTAAGCAATGTTATGTGTGTGTTGTAAATGTAAAACATTTCCACATTGGTTATTTTGTGCAAGAAGACTAGAATAAAAAAAAAAAGTCTGCATTCAGATAACATCAGTTCTTTTTCTGGAGGTGGATGACATTTTTCGTCATGAATCCTTTGGGATTGTCATGAATCACTGTATTACTGAGAATAGCTCAGTCATTCATAATTCTTCATTGTACAGTATTGCTGTTACTGTGTACAAAGTTCTCCTGGTTCTGCTCACTTCACTCTGTATCAGTTCATGTAAGTCTTTCCAGGTTTTTCTGAAATCATCCTGCTCATCATTTCTAATAGCACAGTAGTAATTCCATCACAACCATATACTACAACTTTTTCAGTCATTCTCCAATTGATGGGCAACCCCTCAATTTACAATTCTTAGTTATCACAAAAAAAAAAAAAACCTGCTTTAAGGGACAGCTAGGTGGATGGAGTTCCGGCCTTGGAGTCAGGAGGACGTGAGTTCAAATGTGACCTTAGACACTGGACAGTTACTAGCTGTGTGACCTTGGGCAAGTCACTTAACCCCAATTGCCTAGCCCAAAAAAAGCTGCTATAAATATTTTGGTATAAATAGGTTCTTTTCCCTTTTTAGAAATCTCTTTGGGATACAGACCTAGCAGTAGTGTTGCTGGATCAAAGGGAATGCACAATTTGATAGCCCTTTGGGCATAGTTCCAAATTGTTCCACAGAATAGTTGAGTCAGTTCACAACTCCACCAACAATGAATTAATGTTCCCTTTCCATTTCAATCAAGCTGAACTAGTAACTAAGCTGTCCCCAGAATTAACATTCCATCTCCTTCCTCTGAATAGTTTCTGAAGCCAGCCATGCCTGAAATGTATTGCCTTCTCATCTCTGACTCTAAGAATCATTATCTCCTTTGAGACTCACCTCAAATATCACCTGCTTGGTAAAATCTTCCCTTATCTCTCCCCAATTCCCACCACCTAGTTCTTAATGCTCCCTCTCTTCTCGTGTTATATCTTTCTAGCATCATATAAATACCTTGAAAGTAAGGTCTGTTTCATTTTTGTCTTTTTTAGAATTCTTAATTAATCTAGATATGTTTAGAGAAGCCTTACATACAGAGTTTAAGTTCATCCTCTCACTGTATGACCCTGGCCAAATCACTTAAGTTCTTAAGGTCTCAAGAAACTCTCAGAATACAAATTGCAGAACAGTTGCTGATTGACATTGGTAAAGAGAGTTTCCATACCAGGACTTCCTGAAAAATACCATCTCTCAGCCGTCAGTCTATCAATAAACATTTATTAAGCACCTGCTATGTTCCAGGCACTATGTTAAGGGCTGAGAATGCAAAAGACAGTGCCTGCCCTCAAAGAGCTCACATTCTAATAGGGGTAGCAGCAAGCAAATAAATATGTACAAACAAGCAATATACAAGATAAATAGGAACTGAGAAAGAGAAGGCACTTGAATTAAGAGGGGTTGGGCCTGGAGAAGATTTTATTTCAGTCAGGACTTAAAGGAAGTCAGGGAAGGCAGTAGGTAGAGATGAAGAAGGAAAACATTCCAGGCATGGGGGCAGCCAAAGAAAATGCCCAGAGCCAAGACATAAGAGTGTCTTGTTCATGGAACAGGCAGGAGGCCAGTGTCACTGGATCAAAGAGTAGCATGAAGTAAGGTATAAGAAGACTGGAAAGGTAGGAAGGACTTTGAACACCAGGCAGAAGATGCTGTATTTGATCTTGGAGGCAGTAGCAAGCCATTCAAATTGATTGAATAGGGGAGAGGGGTAACATGGTTGGACCTAAGCTTTAGGAAAATCACTTTGGTAGCTGAAGGGAGAATGGATTGGAGTGGGGAGGGATGAGGCAGGCAGACCCACCCTCAGGCTATTGCAGTAATCCAAGTTCAAGGTGATGAGGCCCGGTGTTGCCCTCTCATTGTTGTTGTTATTGGTCCTTCATTCTCAAAGAGCACCAATGACATCAGGAGGGTGATATCTTGACTTGCAAATGAATTGGATTTAAGTGAGGCAGGGCTGTGCAAAATCATCAACCTCACTCTCTCCTCCAGAGGCATTGGGGTCTAGTGGCAAGACATAGATCAGGATCACTGGCGATGGTCCCCAGTGCAGTGGAAGACCTTGGCCTTTTTAAGCCAGGGTCTTTCCCAGGTCTCATTTTGTCTGAGGCAACACCCATTCAGCAGTTGAAGGCTAAGTATCAAATGCTGCAAAAGATGGCCTAGTTTGCCTTCACAAAAGAATCAGTCTGGGCAATAACAAAAACAATTGCTGTTTACATTTACTCTGAGTCATCAGAATCCAAATAATGAGCAAGTGAGGCTTGGGATGGGACCTATTATTGGTTAGTCAGTGAGAGCCAGAGTGATTTGGGTTTAAAGACATAGCCAAGTAGCTCCTTTTGAATACCCCAAAATGGGCTTTATCAAAACCTGGTTTTTCAGAGCTATATTTCAAGAAATCATAAATTAAAAGCTTCATGAGACAAAAGAGTTAATTATCCCAGTTTAAAAAAAAAACCACAACAATGATAGAATAAATAGGTA